ACGCAACCACTAACGCAAACACACCTAAACACAAAGAAAACACTAACGCGAACATAAACGCCCGGGGCGGAATCACCTGTTTTAGCTTAATGAACGACTATAGTACCCCAACTTATTCATAGTCTTTTGCACTTACTTAAACGAACGCGCCTATTTCAATTTAATGAACAATTTTAATACTCCAAGCTTATCCGTAAAATACCTATAACATTTGCACTTGATCAATGCCCGCTAATTATGTAATTATTTTTTTCCCAACACCAAAACAAAGTAATAAAAAGTAAATTTTTTTCAACTAATGCAATGATTTTATAAAGGGAAGTAGTTGTGTTTTCCTAATTTATCAAAGGGAAGTAAGTGCTATAGGACTAAATAAAGACATAATTAGAATTTTTGTAAAAGATGATATTTTTTTAAAACTTGTGTTTAATGAACATGCCGACAATTATTACTATAATTTGAAAAATGAAAATTATTTCCCAACACTTTCAATAGTAATTTTTTAACTCATAAATTTAGACAAATGCGCACGATAATTGTCTAACACTTAAATCCATCCAAGACCAACGACAAACATGCGTTACATACAGAACTGAGCTTTATATATTAGATCACAAAAACCTATTAAAAAAGCCCAGCAAAAGCAATTTGCATAATATTTAACAAAATTATATTTAACAAAAAATAAATTATAGCAACAACATGGTTTAAAAGTAGGTGTAATAACCATAACAAGGGGGAAGAAACAAAAGCAGCCATTACCTTTTGGTATACGATTGACTAATTTTGAATTTAAAACCAGGATATGAAAACTTTAGCCATTATGGAAGAAAGTTATTGTTTGTTAATCTCAATCCCTAAGCCTAAGCTCAAAAGCTTCTTAGTTAACAGACGTTTAATCCAATCATGTAGATAGGTATTGGATGTTACCTCGATAAATTTAAATAAATATTCCTCTTTAGAAATAACGAGCTATTGCGCAGATAGAGTTCATTTGTTTTTGACGTTGGCATAAGAAGGTATGGTGTGATCATAAGTTTCCCATGACTTAGGAAACTATCAGAGCTAGCTGAACTCAATGTGACATAGCAACGTGACATCTATGTGTCAACGTGATATGTGTGCCAATGTGACATCTGTGCCAATGTGATATCTGTGCCAATGTGACATCCGTATCACCGTCATGGAACGGAGTGGCCTAGGGGTAGAGAGCTAGACTGCAAACCTGTAAGGCTCAAGTTCGAATCCGGGTTTTAGCCAATAGACCTTCACGGAGTCCACCCAGCACTTATGGGTACCTACCTCACGTTAGTAAGGACAGCTGGGCATAGTGCTAACCACACTTTAAAGAGGTCACATAAACAGGTGAATCCACTTCACTTGCTCCATAAACCGTCAGGTTAGGAAGAGGAACTTTATTACCGTCACTTCAATGTAGGCCTAAATGTCACATAATATCAATGCGACATAAGATTAAGTCAACCAGATCTCCTGGTTAATGTGACTAAAATGCGAAAAAGAGGGATTTTTTTGTGTGTCGCAACCTTCCTTCAACAAGCGAACGCCAAACTCTCTATCTCTTGAACCGTATTAAACATTTAAAATAGACCTGACAGCTACACTACCAGACGCAAATCTTGTAGCAATTGTATTTGCTGCATGTTGTAGATCCATCCAACTAGCAAGTTTTAGGACTAACACAAATCTAAGTCACTTCCTGGTTGTGTTTTTTGTTCTTAGCATCTAACAAATGAGGTTTCTGATAGAAATATGATTGCTGTCTTTCAGTTTATTTATCTTTCTAGCAGCTGGTTTGAAGTTTAATATAGATACGTTTATCTGCTTGAAGTATTTGTTTTAATTTTTTTCTTAGTGGTACATGTGAAATGGATCCGATGTATTTGCAATGGTGTCTGAAGGTTTTGGTGTTTTTGATATTTGTGTCGAGAACAACGAATGGACTAGGTAAGGATGTTGTTTTTACAGAGGGCTACGTAGATTAGATATTGGTTGGATGATGTAAACCATTTTCTTAGATGAGGTGATATTCATTGACATGCATCATACGTGTTTTATAAAAATAAATTGTATTGTTTCATTTCTTTACATAAAATATTATCTTTTTTTATCAATAATACAATTTTAAAAACATTAAATGATAAAGTGTGTTTTCTAATTACATATAGGCGTTAAATTTCACTTGTAATTTTGACGGATTGAGTTTTTGAAATAATACAGTTTAATAAGTAAAGGTAAAGAATGAAATACTTTTTTCCCTTAACGAAATAGAGGGATGCCAACAACCTATGGAAATTGGAAAGCCACAAGTGTTTCGTCACACACAAAAACTCGACAATGTCACCACACTGATATGGGCTGTCACATTACAGAATGTAAACGTTGAGTTAAGCTGTGTAGTTTCAAGCCAGAGTTGTAGCAATCCTTATTCCAACATTATCGGCAATATTTCTCAGCAAAGTGATCAGACGACAACATTCTTAACGATATTAACTACGACATTCGACATGAGAAGTGTGAAGATAAGTTATAATAATTTGACAGTTATTGACAATTGTTCTTTAGAACTTTTTGGTAAGCATTAGCAATATACATAAAAAGATTAATAGAAACACACAGGCACACACAAAAGCAGACATACACACATACCCACCAAATCCTATATACCTATGTGTATGTATAAAGATATATATATATATATTTATAAATATATATATATATATATATATATATATATATATATATATATATATATATATATATATATATATATATATATATATATATATATCAAAGTATGTGTGTGTGTGTGTTTGTTTGTCTGTCTTTTATACATTACTACACCTTTCAGCCGATCGCAATGAAACTTTGGGAAGTTACTATGGTGGCGCCACGGGAGAATGCGATTTTACTCTATATCCGAGTGCAAATAAACTTTGGGGAGTTGATGAGAATAAACCGAAAAAGTTTCTGGAAAAAAAATAATTTTGCACGGGTGGCCCCATACAGGGTGCGATTTGGAGCTCCGGTATTTCCTAAGGGCGCTATAGCGCCTACGTTTGTTTTAAATAGTGAATGAATAAAATGGGGCATTATAATAGTTTAATAACTTTAATCAGGCAAGTCCGCCGGCGCCCCGGGCATGGTGCAACCCCCCCCCCCACCCCTTGGCTAAGCCGTGAGAAGTATTGCACATCCGTCTGTTTTTAAAATTGCGAAAGAGTATGCATAAGGTTTTGTTTTAGAGTCATTCACTAAACATAATCAGGCGCGTCCGCCGGCGCCCCTGCAAGATGCGATTAGGTAAACGCAGGCATTGTTAACATTTAAATAACTCAGTTTTGAAGGTCACGCGTCTAAGAATATAGGATAAGTATAGTATTGAAGAAACCCTCCAAAACTATTTCAGAAGTATTTATTTTTCATTTATTTTTCTTTTACTCCTGGGGAGGTTTCCGTGGGGACAAAATTCAATCTTGCAGCGGAGGCGTCCCGACAGGGTGCACTTTAGCGACTCGGGTTATCCCGGCAGCACTGGTGCATACGTTTGTTTTAAAGAATGTGATAAATATGAATAAGAAGTAATATTATAGTCGTTCATTAAACTGAATCAGGCGCGTCCGTCCGCGCCCGGGTAGGGTGCGATATGCCTCTGGCTATCCTGGGGCTTTCTATTATCTCCGCGGCGACGCGCAGGGACGGGCGTACTAGTATATATATATATATATATATATATAAATATGTATATATATATATATATATATATATATATATATATATATATATATATATATATATATATATATATATATATATATGCAACATGAGCGTTTAAACTCCCCAAATTATCGGTTTTATGCTGTTCGGCCTGTACTAAACATTGTAATCTTAATTAACTGCACAACACCTTATCTGACCTGTAGAACACCTTTTTGTCTCACTTGTCGAAAACCTTATCTCTCCTATAGAAAACTTTCTTATCTCCCCTATAGAAAACTTTCTTATCTTACCTGTAGAAATTTTCTTATCTCCTCTGTAGAAAATTTTCTTAAGGAGGCATAGCAACCCTTCCCGGCGCCCGGGGACAAACTTTCGATTTGCACACCCCCCTCAAACTTTCAATTTGTTTTTCCAACCCTTTTTGGCGCCCCCCTATGCTCGGCGCCTGAGGACATATGTCGCCCCCCCCCCCCCTCGCCACGCCTCTGCTTTCTTATCTCTCTTGTAGAAGGCCTTCTTATCTCACATGTTTAACACATTTTTATCACACACGTGAAACATCTTCTGAGGCTTCTTATCCCAGCTCTACACAACTTATCACTTGATTTTTTTTCAGCACGACCTGCTGACGTCAAATGCTACAACCCTGTCCTAAGAAGTGATAAGACTGGAGTCGACGTTAGATGTAGCGCAATCAAAATGTACCCTGATAATGCTAAACCTTTTCTCTACACACTAAACAATGTAAGTCTTTTGCAAGAAGACTAAACTAAAAGAAAGACCTTGATTGCATTATCTAATTAGTTAATGTTTACGTTGGGAGTTGTGTTGTCATGCCCCCGAGGACCTCACAATCAGGTCTTCACAATATCTTTGTATTTAAACGACATTGTAATAAATACTGAATGTTTAGTATTAATATTTAAGCCCCCATTACCATCATATATATTTTTAAATTTTGAAGACTAGTGAGCAATCCTGGCAATTAAAGGACATTAAAACTTATATGAATAGTCAGCGCCCATAATGACACATACGCCGAATCTAACCCACGCTAATCCTTTGTCATTCTCAGCGCTAAACCTAACATTAATTCAAACCGAACAATGAGGCTGTTGATAAATGAACAGGGATGTGTGTGTGTGTGCATGGGGAGGGGTTGGGGGTTGGTTATGACTTCAGTAATGGCGTGTACCCTAACTCTGTGGAGATGGCATGTAAAGAAACAAAACTTTTGCAATAGTATTGAACATTTAGTAGAGATGGTACACCCACTCTTTGAAAGAATACGGAACGAGGCAGAAATAGACTTGAAGGAAGGCCTTCAGATAAAGCCATCCAAGAAAAGTGGCCTCAGTAGCTATAACGACTCTAGGGGAATCACATTGGTTGGTCTCAGTACCTGGGATTGTTTTTTTTATGGGGTTTGACCCAGAGCTGAAAGACGAGCAGGCAGAATTCCGAATAAATTATATCTTGCACGGACCAGATCGCAATACTCCGTATCATAAGTGAGAAGTTAATAGAGTGGAACTCACCACTATATCGGTCACATTAATTAAATTCTCCTGGGTAATATTGTGGACCATCAGGGCGTGGCAGATGCAAAACAAGAGCAGCCTTCGCTCAATTAAGGAACATTAGGGCTTCCAGTGAGATTTCCTTCAAAACCAACGTGCAACTTTTTAACTCCAATGTAAAATCAGTGCTGCTGTATGGGGGTAAAGACCGCAAACTGTTAAAGGCCAGACTTTTATAAACAGCTGCCTCAGAATCCGCTGACCGACACCATAAATAACTCACACCAAAAGAATACGACAGGACAACTTTCCGCTGAAGAAGAAATTTGGAATAGAAGATGGGGTTGGATATGCACACACTGTTCAGACCACCAACCAGTATCACCAGGCAGGCATTGAGGAGGAATCCTTAAGGAAAGCGCAATACAGGTCGAACAAAAACACCACGCAAAGGAGGCTTGAAATGGAATCAGCAAATTGGGTTACAGTTAACGTTAGGTTGAGAAGATGGCACAGGACAGAGGACTTTTGGTTGGCGGCCCACACCCCAAGAGAACAGAGATCTGGGGATGATGATGATTGTACACTTGAATTCAGTAAAAACGTTACAATATTTTGTTTAATGTCGTCCATTATTGACCCCAAACTCAAAAGAGGAAGGTCACACATTTTATGTGTGAGGATTAGTGGAAAGATTTTAAAATTGTTTCACCCAGCTGTCTCGTCATTTTTGAGTGACCACTAAAAAAAACAACAATAAAAAAACAAAGTGTTGATAAAATTAAGTGTTTGAATAGTTTATTGGATTGTTAAAAAATGCCTTTTAACGCTAAACATTAAGTAATTTATTGGCAAACCATGTACCTGAATTAATAGTTTTATATTCAAGGAGACAAGAAAATAAATCTTTTTATTAAATCTCCTTTCATTAAGGACTATATCAACATGACAGAACCATTGAAGCCATCTATTACCATTCCCGGATCCTACTACTTTGATTACACTTATCCCGTACCCGCCTCTTTGTTAATCAGAGGAAACAACACATTCTTCATGTCCATCTACCAATCGGTCTCAAATGGTCAAACATTTGTCAACAGTAGCACTGTGTGGATTTTACTAAGTAAGTGCATTTGTTAACATATCACACCTGAGTTAATCATTAAAATATTTAACCGTGTGCTTAGGACGTCTAAGGAATACGGTGTACTCCAAAAATGCGTTATTATTTTAATTTCGACAGGCTAGAAATTATAAAAATTATTTGTAAACCCAATTTAGAACAATACTTGACAAGAAAGACTGAACAGTTTATCATAATTAAATGTAAAGCAGATAAAAAACTCAAAATATATTTTGAAAATGTCAGCAAATTTGATTCTTTTAAAAGAGTAGATGAAAATTGTTTGATTACAAAGTGAAAAGTGATGATAGATATTTTTTAAACATAATTTAAATCATTAAATCTCTTAATTTACTAGGTAGATTTTTTTATAAAATAGAATAAATCCATTCTTGATAACGGTTCCGTCTTTTTCTAAATCATAAAGTCCTAGACACGGTTATAGCATGGGTTGGGTGAAGGCACTGTAAAAAAATCGATTTCTAACCAGTACAACGAAGAAACCTTAAAAACTATATTTTCTGAAGTTTTAGAATCGTGTAAAATATATGACTAAATGGCCTATTCGGCTTATTCGGCAAAAATTATATTTCTATCATCGATCAAAAAACTAGAGCTTATTGCATTACGTGTTTGATTGTTTTTTTTTCTTCTGCAGATCAGTCGTATTCAGCGATTTATGTTTATCCCTATAAGTCCTCAGTTGAATATGACGCTACTTTGAACGCAAGTCTAACTATAATTTGCTCAGCCTATCCTATCCCTGCGCCAAGAATCTCATTGACCAGAAGGAGCAGCGGACTTGTACTCAACTCGACGGAGAACTCCAGACTGTTGACCTTCACCTTGACGTCGTTTAACTGCCTTGACACGGACGAGTACGTCTGCCTGGTCGACAACGGGTTGCCGGATGTCCCAAACGCAACCAGTTCGATTGGGATCTACGGAAGTTCATGTGAGTTTCTGTTTAATAAGAAAATAAAAATAGAGACCATATTATTGAGTCGAACCATATGAGAATGGACATTATAAAAGTGGTGCACAAATTATCGAGTAGTGACGACAATAAGAAAAGTAAAAATAAATGTGTTTAATCTTGCAGCTGCTCAAAGATATAAGAATTTATTTCAACCAAGAAAAACAAAAAGTGGGAGGCAGGGTGTGTAGATTTTGTGAGGGTGGATAGATGGAATTAGCAAATGTCCCGCAATGTTTAAATTATAAAATGTACTTCCATCAACAGGACCGTATTCAGACTAGAAAAACCCTAAACTATTAACGTTATGTCCATGTATACGTCTAGATATTTTAAGTCATTGACAGATATATACACCTTTTGAAAAGAAGTTTGCCGACAAAAAAGGGTGTTTATAACTTTAGTGGAAAGAGAACTCGACCTCCACATACGAAAATTATAAATAGATTTTAAGAAATAAATTTGGTGACGAAATGCCCACCACTGTATTAAGAAAAAAAATTGGGGCCCCAAATATGCGTAAATTCAGCATTATTCACAAATAATTCTTTCAGTGTATAAGTTTTGGTCTTGCTCAACCTACGAACTAATATGAGTCTTTTTTGTACAACTTTAGAGTCAAAAATTGATTGTTTACTATACAGCATGCATAAACAGTATTTACGTTGAGCTTTCTCATTTTTTTTTCAATTTGGCGTCCTAAACATTCTTTTGAGCGCTTTGGCGCATACGTTCGTTTTAAATAGTGCGCTAGGCTATGGATAAAAAGGGTTGAAAAGGTCCTTCACTAAGTCGAATCCACAACAGAGTGCAGTTGGCGCCCCGGGCCTCCCCGTGAGCGGTATGAAGATTAAGTTCGTTTAAGTAAGTGCAATAGATTATGAATAAGTTGGGGTATTATATTCGTTTACTAAGTTGAATCAGGCAGGTCCTGCGGCGCCTCAGCAGGGTGAAATTTGGTGCCCCTGGGCTAAACTGAGCAATATGCGTTTATGTTTGCATTTATGTTTGTGTTTATGCCATGCGTTATTATTTGCGTTTAGGTTTGCGTTTGTGTTTCTGTGTTGCGTTTTCGTTTGCGTTTTCGTTTGTGTTTTTAGTGTTTGAGTTTGCATTTGTGTTTGCGTTTGTGTTTGCACTGTATTTGCATTTGTGTTTGCATTGCGTTTGTGTTTGTGTTTGCGTTTTCTTTTGTGTTTGTATATAGTTTTTCTACAATGCTAGTTATTTTTCTTTTAAACATGGTTACATTTAAAGTCATTAAAAACAAATTTCCAATACTCGATCGAAAAGGCGGTGTTCAGCTACAAGACCAACAGGCGAATCAGCAAAAGATTCAAGTCAAGCCCGGAAGTGACGTCCTTGTATCCATCCAGGTGATATCACGTGACAACCCCAACAACCCTCTCCTTACACGGTACGTGGGCGGAAACGTGTTCTCAGTACCCGAAGCATTCTACAGCACTCAGTACATCTTGACCAGCAAGTACTACGGCAAACTGAATCTTGCTCTCTATCACGTGACCGAAGACGAGCTGTCTGATTACACAGTTAGCATTAATGATAATATCCTGTACAATTTTACTCTTGCAGATGGTAAGTAGTTATATGAAGTCATGAGAATAATGTTTAAAAGTAAAGCATTTTTAAAATTCATAATTTAGTATGTGTTAAATAACATAGTTTCAGAAATATCCAAACATAACCAACAAAATTTAAAAGTCCCCATACATTTCTTTAATTAAGTCTGCCTACAGTATATTCTAATTTACCGATTTGTTTTACATAAGGTGGAAGTATAAGCCATCGTGTTGAATATTAAATTTATAACTTCAAACTTAGCTTATTTGTAGATAATGGTACATATTTCATCTTGCATTAAATTAATGCGACTCCCATTAAAATGAAGGTGTTGAACTTCTTGATTCATTTTCTGCTTGGATTGGCTCTTCTCCTCATACAAAACACGGATGTTAAGATGAAGTGAATGCATTAACATAAAAGGCTAAGATGTGACATTTTAATGATGTTTTGCAATCGTTTGACGCAGTGGACCGTTAAAACAACAGACATAATCCCCATTATATGCGGTTTTTTTTTTTCTTCGGGCATTAATATCCGGAAAGATTTCACATCCCAGTAAAACTATGGGGGGGGGGGGGGGGGGGGGGGGATTGGGGAGGGTCGCTCTTCACCAACAAAAATAGGTTACTGCCCCATTATTTAAAGGGTAACATTCTTTTTAAATAAGCTAAATGTAAAGTGTAATTACATAATTATTTCAAAACAGACAAAGCTACATCTGTTAATTAATACCTGTTTTAGTTTTTGCAAATAACTGTTTTAAAAATAAATAGATTTCTTTGAAGTATAAATAAAATGAGACAATATTTTTATGAGGGCTTGTTAGTGTGCTACTTAATCATTATCTTTCCCCGTTTGTGATTAATTCACATGGGGCAGATAAAATAGTGTTCATCTGTTTCAATGACCTCGGCATAAAGGGGATATTGTGGTCAGCATTATGCTCAGCCGCCTTTGTTTTTCTAACCTGCGTTTCGTGACTATCGGTCGTTCTACTGATTTGAACCCGGATTCGATATCGACACTTTCAGGTTAGCAGTCTAGCTCTATACCACTAGGTCATATCACCCCACAACGTAAAACGTGTAATATGAACATTATAGCTGTAACGTAACCCGCGCTGGTAATAATTTTTACATACGCTACAAGACAAAAACAACTTACCAAACAAGCCTTTACATTAATGGCAGACTACTCTCTCCACTCCCACCCTTGCTAGGCCTCTGTTATTAGCTTTTAATACTCCAACTATAAGACAAGCTAACAAAGTATACAAGTGTGCCCATTTGCTTTCTTCCAGAGTCTTCCATCAACTACCAAAATCTTGCTATTGGTGTAGGGGTCGCTGCCATAGGGGTTATCTGTGTGACCATCGTGGTCGCACTTGTCTGTTACTACAGGAATGTGAGGTCGTCAAGGCTCCGCTCTGAGGACACCAGGCTCACAGTCTATGACGTCAGGGAGACCAGTACTAACTACAAGGAGGACTACCTGGAGCCCACAGGTAATAATAGGAGCCAGCAGGTAATAATAGGAGCCCACAGGTAATAACAGGAACCAACTGGTAATAATAGGAGCCAACTGGTAATAATAGGAGCCAACTGGTAATAGTATGAGGCCATAGGTATTAATAGGAGCCCAATGGTATTAATAGGAGCCCACAGTCATGTAATAACAGGAACGCAAGGGTAAAGGTTAATAGAAATTATTTCGTGAAAGATATATAAATTGTCATATGCATTGTGGATAAGCAATTGTGAAAGGGCTACTTTTACATTTCCTACCATTTCAAATAAGTTGAGAGAAAAAAAATTCGATACATTTTTTTATGGTTCTGCTCATGTTCAGTAACGCAAACTTTTATTTATTATATATCTTTTAGCATACAACAAACAAACTTTTTTGATTAATACCTTAATTAAATTATTATTTTAATGTTATTTTTGTGTATGTTCCTTTAATTTTTATTACTGAGAAGCAACTCAACACCTGAAACAATGCATTTTTTTGTCTTTCAGTAAATCGATCTACCACAAATTCAGATTATGGTGATGATTCAGTCTATACCGACAACAACGGCTTACATAAATTCGGGGACCAGGAATCTAAACCACGCCAGAACGTTTACCACCACTCACCTAACAGAATGGACACCAGCTCGGGGGTTGTTGAGCCGGGGGAGATGTACGGGAATGTGCTGACCCCCGGGGACACCTCTCCAGTCAACGACACCGACCAGCCTCTCTACAGCAACATGTGATTTTATATCTTATTGATTGCATTGTATTGATCTGTGGTCATATGTGGTGCAGATATTGTTTGAATTTTCTATGATCTATGCCTATCAAAGCAATATTTGATACTGATACAATATCTGGAATGTCTTATAGTTTAATGCACTGTGTGATAAAGTAATATCTATATTTGATAACTCCTATATCGCAATGTGTTATACGAAATACATGGTAAAATGTGTTTTCCTTAACAAACGTTTACAATAAAAACTATACTTTTTATATGCGTGCTATATACTCATTTCAACTTGTTAGCTTAGTTTTTGTACAACAATTTCAAATTTTCTTTGTTTTTCCCTACTTCTTCGGCTTTTATACATACAGTGTTGATAGTTCTAATGTAATCTATTGCGAAGTGTTTGATTTTAATTACATTTTTTTGTTATTTTTATTTATCTAAACTATATTCACAAAGATGTCAAATGCTGTGTGATAACTGAGCAATAACAACTTATAAAAACTTGTCAATTGTAATACAGTGACAAATATTCCGTCGACGAAAATCTCTTAGAAGCTTATGGTGAAATCTTTATAGAGTCACAAGAAGAAATATATAGCCTTATTACATTTATAAGGGAGAAGAAACTAATTTCCATCATAGAACCACCTTGCAGTTTTGAATAGACAATTTTATCGTTGTTATCTACGAACACATTGTTTACCAGGTAGACGTGACGTCATCCGTCTATATGCCAGTGGGACATCCGTTACCAGATAGACGTGTTACCTTATGATTATAATTATAATGATTATTTAATTATTATAATTGTTTGTGAATTAACATTGTATGCTGACATCTGTACACATTTTGGTATAATTACAATAAAGTAGTAGCTCATAAAATAGGAATTAAAACTTAGATGACGAAGACAGTTTACTAATAAATAAGACATTTCCTGTTCTAAGATCCCACCATGTCTTTATAACATTTGTTTATTTAAAACTTCCGTGATATAAAGAAATCACACAGCACTGAGAAAATATATTTTGATTATATCCCTTGATATCTAAATAAATGTTAAAGATTGCAGATAATAAAATACTTAAAAAAAACTTTTTAAAAAACCACGTTTTTCTTGTGGACTAAAAAGTAGAAAATAAATTTTCATTCATTTGATGACAAAAAACGTGGGTCGGGCAGATGGGTCGGGAAATTTGATGGTGAACGTACCCACGTTTTTTGTCATCAAATGTATGAAAATTTATTTTCTACTTTTTAGTCCACAAGAAAAACGTGGTTTTTTAAAAAGTTTTTTTTAAAGTATTTTATTTTCTCCTTTTTAGTCCGTTGCTACACGTGAAAAACGTGGTTTTTAAAAAGTTTTTTATATAATTTATTTTCTACTTTATCTAATGACTTGATTAAGTATGACTTGACTAAGTGTTTTTAAATACATAAAATTTAGAGGATTTTTATCCAAATAAAAAGGATACCTGCATTCAGTTCTGTTGGCTCAGATTTTGAAATGTATTTCGCAACGTACTGCGCAATCGCTTCGTTCGATCCACAAGGCTGAATGTCCATGTTTCCATCCCACAACTTGAGAAAAGTTTCGTTGTAGTTATTTACCGATTTTTCGTGTGGCTTTCTCTTTAGACTGCAAATTCGTCCGCCATTTCTGATGAATTCGTCCGAAGTCTCAGAAATCATTCGAGTTTCGTTGCATGGCTGTCGTGGAAATGCAAACCGACAAGATTCGGAATTCTTGTAACAAGTTTGCGTGTGATGATGAATTTGATTCCGCTTCACCAGATCATGCAACTTTTCATTTTCCGCTTTCGAAGGGTAACTGCATGTGACTACGTTGTCAATTAATTGATTGGATTCCTTCTGGAGTCGAGAATGAAGAAGCGTTTTCAATCCATACCACCATATGCACATGTGGACTTCCTCTATTCTGAAACTCGATTCTCCACCAATAATCAACGTCTCTTCCTCCAAGTACATTATCATTAGCGTTAATGAATGAAATGAATGCATTGAGACGTCTCATGAAATGCCGTGAAACAGTAACCGGATGTTGTTCAATCAACTTCTGTACTTCATTAATACGGAGGTTTGGTTCATCTTCTTTAGCTCTTTCGTCGTTGGCAGCCAAAAGTAAGGCTTTAATCATGTCCGGCCAATGAAGATCGTTGCAACTTAATGTGATAAACCACGTTGGTGGACCAAAGATTCGAATGAATCCAATTAGATCATTGAGGACTGATTTCAAATATGCTGCTGAGCCTCTCAGATTTTTCAGATAAAGATGTAAGTCCTCAACAGCACCGTGTTGGCCTTGAACTTTTTTGCAGCAGGCATTTATCGTCGATTGAGTTTTGTACTATTCAGTCATCGAAAGCGCATAGAACAAATATACAATAAGTTGAAAGCGCGGATCTTTTCCAAGAATTCTTGACTGAAAGTAATCCAACGGCGTGATTCGAATTTCTCGCGGCTCGTTCAGTCCATTTTTTCCATTTGGCAGGAGATAATAAAACGCAAATTCCTCTGCTTTTTTCTCGTGATTAACATTTACGATGTTGTTTCCGGTTTTGCGTACAATTTCATTTAAATTTGTGATTTCCTCAATCTCATCCTCCTCATTTGGCTGAACTGCATCAATAGGACCCATGACCGAAGTATACATGGGTATGTATTCCAGTGGCGCATCGAAATTGGTGTCCGGCACAAAGTTAATTTGTGGACCTTCTTCTGCTGGAGCTTCATTGCAAGTTTGATCCATACATTCTCCAAGATCATTCACATCAATGTAGTGAATGGAAAAGTCCGGCAGATTGTTGTTTTCGTCATTTCGAATAAATCCGCGAATTGCTCTTGTTGCTACATCCTTTAACTCCTGAATGGTATCACACTCAATAATGCAGGCCTTTCCATTTCCCGCTGGAGCACCACAATTTCCACAAGAATGGGAATCCGCAAAGTAAAACTTTCCATCATAGTGCATGACTGCTAAACATTTGGATCTTCCAATCAAAATTCCAGCGTTATGCTCCGAGAAAAGATACTGAAGAGCACACTGCAAATTTCTCGCATCGCCGACATTCTTGGATTGCTGCAAATATCCTTGACAAATCCATCCGGTGTTGTAATCCAATAAAATTGAGTGATTGAACATGTTGAACGTATAATCAATCACATCCAGGTTCTCAATCGTCAAGTATCCATCATTTGGAATCTGCAATGCTCTTCCATTTGCATTCAGCTGAGTTTCTTGGTAAATTTTTCCATAAAATTTATCTCCTGCAAGTAAATTGGCGTCCACGATAATTTTATTCCACCGACTTGGAGACACAATAGCTGCTCTAACAATATTTGCAAGTGCCATGGCAAAGCACTGAAAACCGGCAAAATTGTACACTCTTGCGTCACCTTGATTAAAAGAAGCATGTATAATTTTGGTATTTTTCTTTCCCTGAACTTCGTATGCACTTTGATTTAAATCTTGGGCAACTTCTGCTGGATGAGCAAGTTCTGCTGGCTGAACAACTGACGGTTGTGCAGCTGGAATCACGCGGATGATGTCTTGTGTTTCCAGTCTTGCACCATAGTTGATTATTACATCTTTGTACAAAGGGTTGTTAGCTTTAAGCCATTCGAGTGCAGCAAAAACACGCGCGCGAGATATTTCATAATCACGCGAAATATTCAAATTCTCGAGCGTCTCCGTAACTACCACAATGTCTGCGTCATCACTTGGTCTAGGCAACATGTCTGCTAATTTTTTGCTAACTTGGAAAATATCGAGAGCGAAAAGAATTGCTTGGCCCTTAAATCCGTACTGACCGAAGCGACCGTCGAATTTAATCACCTTTAGGAATGCCTTTATGCGAGATAAAAGCTTTCTCTCAGGCTCTTTCAGATCCTTAATTACATCTGGAATAACGCCCGGATCCAAATTATTCCAGAAAGCTTTGGACGGAATCTTATTCTTCTTTAGATGTGCCTTGCATCTATTGCAAATCACCAGAACACTTTTGTCTTTGAACTCGTCTGGCCAAGATAATTTTGAATCTTTTTGATAATTTCCTACCTGTTTAGGATAACATTGTTTCAAGCAAATCTCACAAGATTCGGTGCTAAGTGTGTTAATTTCCTTGGAAAATTCTTCTTGTGCTGAACGTTGATTGTAGGCTTCACGACGACGTCTTACTCTTCTTCATGTTGCTCGGCAGATTGCGCGGCTCGAACTTGAGACTGTCTATCTCGTTGTGTTACAAGGCGCGAATTCCGCTCTTCCGCGGACTCAACGGCCAGATTTCGTTGTTGTCTATCTCGTTGCTTCTCAAGGCGCGAATTCCGCTCTTCCGCGGACTCAACGGCCAGATTTCGTTGTTGTCTATCTCGTTGCTTCTCAAGGCGCGAATTCCGCTCTTCCGCGGACTCAACGGCCAGATTTCGTTGTTGTCTATCTCGTTGCTTCTCAAGGCGCGAATTCCGCTCTTCCGCGGACTCAACGGCCAGATTTCGTTGTTGTCTATCTCGTTGCTTCTCAAGGCGCGAATTCCGCTCTTCCGCGGACTCAACGGCCAGATTTCGTTGTTGTCTATCTCGTTGCTTCTCAAGGCGCGAATTCCGCTCTTCCGCGGACTCAACGGCCAGATTTCGTTGTTGTCTATCTCGTTGCTTCTCAAGGCGCGAATTCCGCTCTTCCGCGGACTCAAAAGCTCGAACTTTTTGTTGACGCTCTTTTTGTTTTGATAATCTCTCAAGACGATGTTCCTCGCTTTCAATACTGGCTAGCTCCTGTCGACGTATTCTTTTAGCTTCTCTTTCTTCCTCGGTCTCAAGCGAACGATCTCTTTGGCGCCTCAAGCGAGCTTTTTCTCGTTGACGTTCTTTTTGTTGACGCGTTTTCGACATAATTTATCTAATGACTTGATTAAGTATGACTTGACTAAGTGTTTTGCTAGACCTAGACGATGTTACAATACTAAAAACCTATCACTATTTTCAGAAGTC